TTAAGTTGAAGTAATTTCTCATTGATCAGCTAGAGGAGCACTGAAATCTGAATGGATACATGACATGACGCTATGTCAACCATCGTGTCTCAATGCAATCAGAGAATTCAATGAAATCGTGTTTTCATCTATTTTTCTTAACTTATCGCTTATATTACGTACAGGTGAAACAATTTATGCTGTTATAATGTCAAACATTTTATAACAAGTTATCACACAACATGAAACAGTTCACATTAGACCAAGAAATAATAGTGGCATAATAATGTGAATATATCTTGTTATAAAGTGAAAAATGTGTTGTATAATGTCAAACTAATCCTTTTTTTGTGGTTTGGCAGCAAAACAAACGGGATTTTTCAGAAGAAAATAGTTTCGTAAGAGGAGAAATAAAGTCCCAAACCTAATAACTGTTTCTAAATTGCTACATTGACCTATCGTCCTTCTGGATGTTTGCCAGTGAGTTCCATGTAGCTTTCGGAACCACAATGTCAAAGTCTTAAAACCATGCTTTCCCTTGACAGAAAGCTCAGACACAGAACGCACAGTTCTTTAGACAGTAAAGGCCACTGACCGGAGGGTCTGCCATCGAGGTGCATTAAGGTAAAAATGTTTACGAAGCTCGATCAATACTGGGGACCGAATCAGGATACATGAGGAGAAAGCGGACACAAGGGCACGTTAAACAGGCTATAAAATGACGATAGAGTCGAGATTAAGGACGGTGGAGGCAATTAACCCGAAGGGATGAAGAGCTCTGGAACAAATCCACTTCTTCAAACTGTGAAACGGCTATAAGATAAAATAAGGCTTAATTCTGGTGACATAACAACATGAGAATGAGACTGAAGTCCAAAATTGTGGCAATTGCAATATACCAGAAGCTGCCTGTCGTCACACGAACAGGAACAAGTCAATTAAGAATCACAGGTACCGGTGTGCATTTAAAAAACAATGTTCTAAGAGGAGACTGATATGCTCATTCTTTATTGATTAAAAATAATCCAGAGAAACATGCTTCGAACTCCAAAACAATCAAGGAAAGAAAAAAAAAAAAGAGTAAATGAAAGAATGAAAAAAAACAAAACTGAAAACAGGTGGAAAATTCAAATATATTACAGCCTTGGTTAGTTATTGCCTGGACAAAAAGTGTGTTTTTTTGTTTGTTTTGTTTGCCGGTCATCTGTTCAGTTGCTACAGTTTTGTTAGAGCAGGACAAAAGAGACTGTTGGAAAGGAGAGAGGGGAGGGAGAACAAAAGCATTAGATCTGTAACTCCATTAAAGAAGGACTCAATCTGCACACACACACACAAACAGACACACACTTCTCTCGGGGCTCACACACACACACACCGATCCTTGTCCCGGTTTGCAGTCAGCTGCAGACTACACCAGGAAAATGGCACCAAATACTGCAGTGTCAAAATGTAAGAGTAACACTGGGCTGCTGACTTTGTCGCAGATGAGGTCGACACACTCGTGTATCTTTATTCCAGGTATCTTCACGTGTAACCAGAACTACATTTTAAAGACACTTAAAAGTCCAAATCGAAACCTTAACGTCAAAAAAAAAGAAAGAAAAGAAAAAAAGAGAGAGAGAGAGAAAGAGAAAAAAAATACACTTGGTCATTTTCAATTTAAGGCTAGCGTAAAATTTAACATGTTTATAGTCAAAATACAAATATTTAATCTTAACATTTTATCTGCAAGCAAAAAATGCATTCAATTTCATTCAATATGGCATCTGGAGGGTTATGACATTATTACATCACCAAATTAAACAGTAAAACCTTGCTGGCATTTCAGATCTACACATTAGAGCAGAGTGGCAAATGAACCTCCCGCCAGGAACTGCGAGGTGCACATTCATCATCAAAAACCACGTTATTAATGCACATTGACGCACAAAAAAAACATCCAGAGTGCGGCTGAAAGGATGTAACATCTGTGCTGATTACAGCCTTTTTTTTTTCTTTTTTTTTTTAACCATCATCTGAATCCAAAGTTCAAAATGTTTACAATCACGGCTGAGCTTTTCAAAGCTGAAGGGGGGAAAAAATCTTCCATTTTAAAAGAAAAAAAAAAAAAGAACGATGGCAAAGCAGCTGTATGAGTTAAGATGAGGGTTAAAAGAACTAGCTACTGTAAACAGCCTCCACTTTATTAAGAGCTGGAGGCAATTTTGCTGTTTGGGGAAATTTAAGGTGGCCAGGCATCGAGCGGTGCATCTGTGCCTCCACGGTAAAATAGATTTAAACTTTTCAAAGGCAAAACGTAAAAAGCTGAAGATATCTGATGAGTAAAAGGTAAAATGAGCATCATACGCGACACACAGTTAACGACAGCACGTCCTGCAAACACAGAGGGGCATCCAAAACCCCATTTGCAGCGCTGCTGCTGTCGTCTTCCTTCACGCGGAGATACGACCCACAATCGTGTCATGAGACAGAAAAAAAGGCCAAGAGTGAAACACCCAGTATAAAAACAAATCAAAGCCAAATGTCATTATGTACATACTAGAGGTTAAATCAAGTACTTATTTTTCATCCACATAAACAAATATGCACTTAAGTCGTCTTCTTTTTTCTTTTTTTTTTTCTTAAGGATTTGTGAAACCGATTCCAAACAGACACAAACTAATACCGACAGACAGACACATCTGCTCGTACAACACGTGGTTTCAGCTGCTGCACAACTTTTTACTTTAAGGTTATTGATCGCATACAGAAGGACAGCTTTTAGAGGAATTTGATTTTCTGTGATCGTTTTGGTTTCATTCTCGTCAAAATTCAAATTTCCTAAACTTTTCTTTTCATTGAGTAAATAAGTTGAGATTTAACTTAGGAGGATAAGTTTGAGAATATCTTGTATTTTATATTATTGTCAACAAATCCCATGAAGCACCCAGTTAATGAATAACAATAAGTCTGATATATATAGTTGTTTATGAGCCTGTTACTGGGATGCAGTTTATATGTTAGTCAACGTTTATTAAAGGTGACCTTTAGTCTTCATTATGATGAAAATTGTCGCTACAGTTTAATTTGAGTCAACCATAAACTTTGCTGGAGCTGAACTGGGTTAATCCACTTCTGAAAATAATCCCCAGGAGGTGTACCATTAACTTGTGTTTGAATCATTTTAGGAAAAAATTTCACTTGTGTTAATAAATGACATCTTACATTTTTTTACCCATCTTAAAGAAGCAAACGTGCTCAGAGGTAAGAGTCACTGTAAGGACATTCAGTATTTAGAGATACGCGTTGTTGATTCTTTTTATGGGTTTTGTTGATGACAACAAAAATACAGAATTTAGCGAGACCATTAAAGTGTTCACAGCCTTCTGAAAAAGTAATTTGGCGTTACATTTAGTACGGCTAAGATTACAGTTGGCCTGGTTGGCTGCAGCTCATTCAAATATAGTAAAAAGCATGAGCACCTGAAACCACCTTTGTGCATTTCAGACAACATAACGCTCCATAACGGTAACTGGGGGACGTCCCCCCCAAAACGTGCATTCAGTAGTTCTGATGAATATAAGGCATTGTTACACTTATCAGGATTCAAGGGCGTTAGTTCAGATTGTGCAAATGCATCACATATTAGAGAGAAAAATAACAGAACGATGGAGACCAGAAATGAAAACAGCTTGTTGTTGATACTTGCATCCTTCTTACATATACACTGTAAACTTTTTTTGTTTTGTTTTTCGAGTGATTCTCATACTGTACGCTCTGATACTTCAGCGGACCGCCTAATTCATCGAGGCGGCATTTTATAATCCTATGGGTGACACAATGGTACTGTTTTCTTTGGCAGTAGTGGTTTCTTTACAGCCATGGAAAGAAAAAAATGCATTAAACTATTTTTTTTTTTTGTAGTTTTTTTTTTCAATTTTCACATTTTTTAGGCAAGTCACGGTCCCAGGTAGAACAACAGTTTAACTAATGCTGAGCTGAGCAAAGCCCATCAACTTGATGTCATCTGGTATTTCAGATCCCTCAATTCCGGAAGCCTGTAAAAATAAATGGCATTGATCAGAAATAATTAGCAAAAACATGCCTGACTGATAAAACAATAAAATAGCTTTACTTAACAGTCAGAGGAAACAGTTTATTCTTCAGTTTGTATTAAGTCACAAACAGTTGCCTCAATATACCAAAAAACACACGTTTCCAAAAACATCTTCGAAAATTGTAAACAGACGAAGCATGCAGCTGAAAGTATAACACACAGGATTTAATTCCTAGCTGGAAAAGACACAATTTAAAAAACTAAAAAGTACACTCACCAGTTTGAAAGTGACATTTTTATTGGCTTGAGGCTCATCAACTATTTTCTGCAAATTTGCAGCAACTGAAAAGACAAAGAATACTTCAGTCTGACAAAAACTAAAAAATATACATCAATGCATCAGCTGTCTGTGTTCAAAAAGATGTGACACTGGGCCTCATGATATTACTTTGCGCTATGAGACTATCTTGCTAAGCGATCACACAGCTGGTTATAAAATCGGCGAGTCAACCCTGAATCTGGCTGTGAGCATGTTCACATAAAAAGAGCAGAGCTGGCAACTGACTGTGTGAAGTTATCACCACAAGTACGATAGGAGCAACCTTTTATAATCATGTATAATTTGCTTTGAGCCAGGTTTATTATTTAACAATCTGTTAATTATTATGCAACACAAGATTATACAAACACTGTACAGATGTTGTCCCACAAATAAGACAAACTATGTAAAGAACAAACATTCAAGTGATTTAAAATAATATATAGATATATATCAGTATCTTATAGTGTCGAAAACGGTTTTATTCTTTCAGCTGAATAGCAGCGCTAAATGGTTCTGGGAGCAAATAAAGAACAAATATAAAAACATCATCCAAACCAATAAAAGACTGCAAATTTCATAAAGTCGAGAAGTACAAGGCTTTAGTGCTTTATCTGTCTCCGTTTTATGTGTATATCGATATATATATAGGCCTACAGAACAATGAAATGGCTTTGAAATTACAGCTTTAAAAACTCAAGCTCTGCAAGACCCTCCAGGAAAAGTGAAGCTATTTTTCAAGAGGGTTGACTGGTCAATAGGAAGTGTTTTTATACGCTTTGATCTGCTTTCTCGACCATAACTTGCTACGGAGCAGGTTAACTGTTCAGCACTGGTTACAATAATGATGGACACGAGAAGTGAACCACTGAAAATCCAGAGTTAAACCTAAAGTTATCTTGATAACCTAAAATATTGATGTTGCAGCACAGGCCTCTGGGCTACCCGTTAGTGTTGAAGATCATTTGTTTTGACCTGAGGAATGGCCCGTGTTCATGTAATGATGCATGTTCATGAGATTTTAGCTGACACCTCCAGATCGCTTTACTGTTAAACTTAATTTGTGGCCAAGTTGTATTGACAACAATTTCCGGCAAGAGTAACAAGTCTTGCGATAAAAAAAAATCAGCAGATGAAAGTGCAACAAAGTTAGCAGAGCCTGTAATTGTATTTAGGGACACGAAACAACTGATAATTTAGAAGACATCACACACTTCATGTTACATCAGAGGACGTTTCCCTGAACAGCACATCAATACAATCATAAAACCTACAATATGATGCTAGAATATCATGTTTACTTTGAGTATTGATGTTTTCTGGTGAATATGATCGAAGCTGAAACTTAACATTTAGAAAACATGAAGGAAATCTAGCTCTCAAGTTGTTGTGTTTTCCTAAACGTCTTGCACGTGCTACTTAAAGAGTAAATCTGTTTATATGAGGAGACCCAGTGTCAGTACAAACTGTTCTCTCAGCAAATCAAAAGATAATCTTTAACCTTCCCGTTGAATGTGTTGAGTGAGAGCAAAGAATGCGTGAACGGGCAGCGGGAGGATTTTTATTACTGACCTATTACTAAGTCCCTCCCGTCCACCAGGCCTGCTGACACCAGCTCCTGGGACACACCATCTGCTGTGTCTGTAAATTCAAAGCATGAGACACCAACTGTGAAAGGTGCACCAACACGGAACATTTTTTAAAAAAGCAAACGGGGCATCATCGTGGCTTAATAATTCCTAAAACACTCAGGCACCCTGTGTTTACAAAAAAAACAAACTCTTCCAGCATGTTCTGTTCCGAGTATTCCCAATATGACATCCAGAGCTCATAAGTCTTAACTGCAGCACAGTTTGTTAAACTACATGGTTGAGTCTTGATTTTTGAATGATAACACTGTCATAAAATATAAAGTCCACTTACCTCTCCCTGGCATAAATTCAAAGCGGATGTCATTTAGCTCCTTCTTTGAATTTCTGAAGGGATAAAGGAAAGAATACAGATGAGAGGTGCGAAGTTTATCGAGAACAGAGAGAAGGTGAAAACTAGACTCACAAATCATGCACTTTTTTCCCCCCTGTATTTTAGATGTGGACGTACCTTAACCTTAATACCAAACTAATGGGAGCCTTAACATCGCCTGAGGCAGCTGGAGTCTGTGGAAACAGATACACACATTTAACTTGAATAAAACGAAGGCTTCAAAAATGATTCCCTACATGATGTTAAAAAAGCTTGCAAAAGGAAGTAATAGATGACAGGTAGCCTTAAAATCAACACTTCTGATAGAAAACATAAGCTAGTGGACTGGCCTGAGTGGGAACAGCAGCAGCAGGTACGCCTGGTGTGGGAGACGCAGCCTGGGCAGTGGATTGAGTGTTGACTGGTGTGGGCTGCAGTGGAACTTGGCCTGCAGCCTGAGGTAGTTCAGCCTGACCGGCGGCCATCGGCTGGAGTTGACTACTTAAAGGCTCAGGAGTCTGGAAAACCTGACGGAGAAATGGGTTGAGTTGTCCACCTTTTGGCCCAGACTGAAATGTTTGATTTCAACAGCAAGACTAAACAATAAATCTGTTTTCAGTTAAGAAACATTCAAAATGGATGTGCTCAGTTCTGCAGTCAAGACTGTGTTGGCATCATTTACTTCATCTGTTGAGGGTAACAAGCTTTTATTTGAAGCAGGCTTGTGTTAGAAGCAAGTCCGTATCTCTAATTCCGTTTTTGATAACTGTAGTTGGTTGTGTTTGGGTGAGAAGCCGTGGTCCCATTTGCACATATACACTATAAATAAAGCTAAATTTAGACATCCATAGACTTTAATTCAATCCTAATATATACCAAATCACCTCAAAGTGCAGAGACTACATCTTTGCTTCCGCAGCGTTTGGACTCACCTCTGAATTCTGTGATCCCTCCTTCACTCTGGGTGACTGCGTAAAGAAACAGACAGAAGTGGATAACGATCAGATGAGAACTTTACAGCAGTGGATTTAGCAAAGCAAAAACGGCACGCATGGATGCAGAGAACACACAGAGAGCAGAAGAGATAAACAGATTAAAACGGCGCACTCGTTTACTCTCCTCATTTATCTGTCCACTTAGTCTATCGTGGTTTCCTTTGAGGTGAAGCAGTGGAGTTATCGTTACAGTGGGAAAAGAGATATGATGTGCTAACAATGCTTCGAATAAACTTCACTGACCGATGCTGACGTGGGCGATGCAACAGTATTTGTCAACCAGTAGAGATTTCTACACAACGTATGTCACTATTCTCAGCAAGACTGCAAATCAATAAGCCGACTGGATTCATTGGATTTACTGGAAAGTGATTTGTGCAGTGATTTGTCAGATATTTAACTGAAGGGATGAGCAAAGGAACTTTTATTTCCAGTTCAAAAAATGACTACATCACTATACTACTGCATAATGAAAATATAGCTGAAATAGGACTGAGTTGTAAACGAGTGACAACAGATACTCTACAAACGCAGTTGTATTTTTAGTTTCTGAAAAGCAGAGAAGCGATTTAAGTGAACGCAAAATCAGGAGAAAGTCACACTGATATATTGTGAAAGTGCTAATCTGCAAAAAAAAAGAAGTCAATTTTAATCCAATGCTAAAGAACATAGAGGCAAACAGAAACTTTGCAGGCCAAATGAAGACAAACTGACTTAACGGAGAAGACGTGATGTGGCGCCTGGGCTGATGAAAGAAATCAGCTCAGGAATCTGCTGTCTGACTCACAGAGACTGTGTTCGTCTCTGCAGCACAGACAGTATAAAGGTAGTCAGCCAGCTCTAACGTTTATCAATCGGCTTCAAATGTATAATGTATAAAAAAATATTCAGTCAGTTCATGGGAGTTTGGAAATATCTCATCCATTAGAGCTACTGAAAGGATTTGAGTTCAGTTTGCCAGCAAGCAGCCAATTACAAAGCAGCGTGAAAAGGAGCAGAGACACTGTAAAAGTTTAATTCCTTGATGGTCATTAGTGCTCGGTTTGAAGATCATTACAAGGCTGATAAGTAACTTGCCTTGTTCTTTATTAAATGTGATTTGGTCAGTATGAATTAAAAAAGGTGATTTAGAAAAAGAAATGGAAATACAGATGGCTTCCAGGAAAGGTAACTCTCACTCCTTTGATTACATAATTCTCCCTTCAAGCTAACTGTTGATTCTCATCCAAACATTCCAGATAACAGTTTCATCAACATGGACAATTGTTTGAAAAGCTGATTTTATTTTATTAAAAAAAACAAAAAACAAAACAACAACCTACAATCTCTATAACACTTCAATTAAAACCACGAATTTGGTTCCTTCCCCATGTGACACACAATGTGTCACTGTTTACAAAGACGCCTTGAGTATGATTAATGAATTCTGACAAGGCTGACTTGTGGGTCAAATTCCACTCACATGTGATCTGCAGCATGCACAGATTTCTGCTTAGAAAAAAAAAAGCAGTAAAGCCTTCCTTCTGACAAACCTGTTGCATAACTCTGGTAATTACAAGTCATCTTAGGTTAATGTCAAGCTACATAAAGCTAGAACTAAATCAGTGTTATCTCAAGGATAAGAGCTTATCTGTGTGCAGATTTTCACTCCGACAAAGTCTTCTAATGCATATTTAATCAGCAGTCAGAATGATAATTGGCTGTATCATCAATAAATAATAAACTTTAATAACAATATAACCGCTTCCAGTTTCCACAGGCTTTTTCAAATGCTTGTGTGTGCGGCTCTAACGCCAGCAAAAAACTCCTCAATCTGTCCATGTGCTGCCCATCTAACACGTGAGAGTCCTTCCTTGTTAAGGGAATGCCATCTGTATCATGGTGGCAAGTGAACAACCCTGGATGCAGGCAGCTCGAGTGGGTAGGAGAAGCGCACTTGTCGCCTGGGGGCGCTAACAGGTTTCACCTGCTGCTCCTTGGCCGTCAGACAGAACATACACACAGGGAGACTCAGTGGAGAGACAATGGACAAACATGCTACTGCATAGACATGAGAATGACAATTTAAACAGAGTACAGTGATTAAAAGACATGACATGTGGAGTATAACAAAAGTGTTAATGTGTGCATGTGAGGAAAAAAAAACGAGAAGGTTCGTCTCACCCTTAAGGCTGCAACAGCTGCTTTGCCTTCTTCACTTTCTTCATCCAGCTCATCGTCACTCCATTCCCACTCACCATCCTCTGTTTTATGCAGCCGGCCGCTGGAGCCTGGCACTCGACGTACCTGATGCACACATGCACACGAGTGAGCTCACATTCTCAGGAATAAAGCATAAACTGTCATTCTAAACCTTTGCCCGCTTACCTTTTTCGACCTCTCTGTTATTGTAGGCGCCCTCTGAAGTAACTTCTCGTGTAAATACTCGTGATTCTGTCGTGAGCGGAGAGAAACAAATGGCTGTCACTCCACAGTGCTCTACATCTGTTTATTGTGTTGCCTGATTAGGTCTCACATTACTCAGAAGTTTAATCCATAATGAGCTTTACTGAGACGCCTCAACACCCTGGCTTTATTTCACTGTTGACTGAAAAAATACTTCATTGAATTCATTTCAATGCGTTACGCAACTTGGCTCTATCATACGAGTGACCCCATGTAGGTCAGTAAGATCTCAAAGGGTCCTTTAAAACAAGGGCTCCTGGTTTTTCTCCGCTCAAAGTGCAAGACTTGTGGAGATAAGGCTTTTGTTTGATTCTGGGTACCAGAATATACGCAGTCAGCAAATGTTCTTATCTCAGGCTTAACTGACACTTAAGTGATGCTTCCTTCGCTTGATTTGTCTTTATTTCTCTGTGATTGCATTTTAACAATACTTGCTTTCAAAAGATAGCAACAAATGACTGGATTTCAAAAGATACACCATGAGTGCTTGCTAGATTACATTAAAACATACACTGAAATCCCTGCTGCAGAATGACACAGTCCTAAAATGTACTCATTTGTACCAGAGGAGCCTGTGTTCTGAAACGATGACCAATCCTGCCCTCTGCTGCACACTCAGAGTATTGCAGTTGCTGCTGCTGAGGATCATATCCAGCAAGCCAACCAGGTTGTATTTGGGCTGTGTGACTTGCTGAGCCAGCACTCTAGTTGTTCCAGTTGCTAGGGTACTGGGCAGCCGGAGGCTGATGTTACACTGCTTATCCCTGCTTTGTTCGAAACAGTTCTGTATGGCCAATAATGAGAGGAATGCTGCAATGACCTCAGCTTGGGCCAGACACATTTACAAGTTGTGAAGCACCCTGAATCTGAATATCTCAGGAAGAGACTTGTTTTTAAAATAAAATGCATTCCTTCAATAATCTCTTCTTCAGTCAATTCAGAGCTTCAAGAGCTAAAAACACTCCATCTATTAAAAGCAGTACATCATTTAACTCGAGGCCAAACTGCCATTCGGCCAGTCAGACGCCATCATTTCTGCGAGCACAGACATTTACTCATCAACTAAATCAAGTGCTGCCTGAAAGGAGGATGATGCTGACTCAATGAGTAACTAATTCAGTTTAAGGTCCAGGGGGAGCTCAAGCACCTACCTTTGCTTTCTGAAAGAATTTATGCTTCAACAGCTCCGAGGATGTTGGCCTGGAAAACAGCAGTGACACTGAATTAGTTCTATTAATTTGACTTGTTAGAGCTTTTGTAAAAACTTGGGAATGTTGCACAACCTATGTTTTACAGAACCAGGGAAGCGTGACAGAACAGAACGGCAGCACTCAGGACAATGAAAGCAATTATGTGCTGCTTCGCTTTACAAGTGCTAAGAAGTATGAACCAACTGTTAACTATAAAGTGTCCAGGACTGAATACAACTTTCTTTTTTTTGGTAATTAATACATGTAATAAATTAGCCTACTACAGAAAAATGATGCACTTGATAAAATGTATGCCCTTGAAGCCACTGCAAAGTATTATGTGCTGTATGAGACAATATAAAGACGATGCAATCAGCACCTTTTCTCTGGGTCCTTCTGTAGACACAGTGAGACCATCTTCCTGAAGGATTTGCCGTATTTCTTTACCATCTCCTTGTCCGTGATGCCAGTCTCCAGACTTGGTGGGTCATTCTGCAGCGTCAGCATCAAGACCTGAAGACAACAGAAACACTTTTACTCAGATGTCACAGTTATATTTGTTCAATGTCGCTCAAATTATATTAATAATGATTTTTAAGAAGTGAGATCATCCTACAGGGTTTCTTACCTTCATTGGTGGGTATTTGTGATAAGGTGCAGCTCCTGTGGCAAGCTCAATGGCTGTGATTCCAAAACTCCAAATATCGGCTTTGAAATCATAACCCCTCACCTGTGGAAAGTAAATGATATATATATATATTTAGCTCATACAAATTAGCCCTGTCATTTTATTTATTTTTTCTTTTCTCTTGTTTGTCTCTGTCGCCAGGTGCTTGCTCAAAGGGAATCTCAGGATTTAGTCGGTTTTTCCTGCAGAATTTTGTAGGGTCTTAACCTTAATTTTAAAGCTAGCCAGGCTATTTGGTATGCTTTATATTGCAGGGACATTTAAAGTAGTTATGTATATGTGCATAATAAATAATATCAGTACGAAGACTTGTGAGGTACATTTGTTAATTTCATCTCTCTTCTGGAAATGGTTTCGAGGTCAACATATGGTGTTTTAAATGTGCTACATAAATAACGGTGACTTATTTCATACCGAGCTGAGAGGGATCAGTTCACAGATCCAAGACATAAAGAGTGAAACATGTGTCGCAATATTGCAGTGAGAAAACACAAGATGGGGTTTTGAGCATGGCATCTACATGTTTACATGTGTTTACTGATAGTTGAGATGATGATTTAGAAGGAAACTTGCTGCTTTGTGACTGTCTGACTGTGCCTGCTAACAAAACATCGCCTGAGTTTTCTCATGGCTTCATGCTAGACAGTACTGACCTGCTCCATGACCTCCGGGGCCATCCAGCACGGTGTTCCCACAAACGTCTTGCGCACTTTATTTCGAGTAATATCTCCTCCTGTGGCTAGAAAGGCACTGACGCCGAAGTCTGAAGGAAGGAAAAAATGAGACACGCAAAGAACTCAGTAAATACGGTATCAAGACAGCTAATTTATCATTTGACAAACAAGACCTCCTTCACACTGAGACACCAGAGCTGTCTGAACACGAGTACAGTAAATGAGACTGCAGCAAAGGTGAAGGGAAGCATCTACTAGTTCACACCTAATGTGGATCAATAGTGACAGCTGATGACAGGTGGTGTTGCCTTGTGGCTAAATACCTGCAATTTGCACTGAACCATCATCCCCGAGGAGAATGTTTCCAGCCTTAAGATCTCTGCGAAAGACAAGACAAGAATTTGCGCATTAAACCTCTCACACACATGGCTGTCAAACTGAAAAATGATTGTGGCTAAAGCCAAATAAAGGGTGAACATACACTGTATTTAATTCAGATTAATTAATTGTCAGTTCAAATGTGTAACTGCTTGATTGTTTACTTATAATTTGCTACCATGATCATCACACATCTTGGTATGACGGTCAAACTCTCATATTTCTTATACTTCCAGCACCTTGTTTTAGACTTTATTACAGACATACAGAGTCTGTAGTTAATTTGTTCATCCCTGCTCAGCCTCCCCTGGTGGCGATAAGCGGATTCAGCAGGGACATCTGTCTGACTGCCTGTCTGCCACACACAGCGAATACTGCCATCTCACCAGCCAGCCAGAGTTGTCATGGCAACAGACTTTCCCAGATAAAGACGAAGGGTCAAGTGAAAGGCGAGGGCATAAAAAGTAGGGAAAGCAGCGGTGTCACGGTGGACAAAAGTCGGTTCTCTCCGTTTTCCAGCTTTTCGGGGGAAATTAATGTCTGTTTCAACTGAGAATAATGGAATAAACACTAGCAGGGCACAGAGCGAGAACCTCAGAACACCACCATCCATTACGTCACCTTGAACGGCATCCAGCAGATTTGGTTTCAACAAATCACCACCAGACAGCTCTCTGAACAGTACTGACAGGCAAATGATTCAAAAGAGATGCAATAGCAACCTGCGAGGCAGTTCCTGCTGCTGCCAGACAGGGGCACTGGAGTAGAAAACTTGCAGCTTTAGGTGGAGGATAAATGCTCTTGGATCATTCCAGCAAACAAATTGGTCTGAATGAATGTAAAAATAGAACGGGCTTTGGAGATGAGACATGACACAGCTTTCCAGAAACAAAGACTCCCTTTTCCACTTTATTGGGCATATAATTCATTCCATGCAGACTGTAAAAAACGTGCCAAATACCAGATATGCGGGGGGGGGGCAAGTGCTGCAGGGAGAATAGTGGTGGTTGAATAGATTTTTGTGTTACTCGGATAAGGATACTGCTGGGGCGGGCGTACAACTTGAATGCTTTCCCTGACTCACAAAAAAACACTTTGGAAGATCCTAATTTTGTAGCAAAAAAAGTGAAGGAGGTGAAGTAGGCAGTTTGGCTTAAGCCCTCTTTCTCCTGCAGCCACAATCTAGAAGTGCAATCTTCACAAGCAAGCTACTTGTTAAAGGGACCCATGAGTTTGAAGGCCACAGTTCAGATCTTTGTTCAAATCCTGCTGAATAACTACTTGGGTGCAGAGGCCACTTTTGCTAAGTGTGCTCCAGTGAAATAGCACACAGCCAATAGATTTCATAGCGACAGGGGCAGGGAGTGGCAAACGCTGAGCCTCAGAGGGAGGAATGCAGCATATGTGACATATTAGGACCGAAGTCTGAAAGCAAAGGATGGGGATTCCCACTGCAGGGCAAATGGAGAATACAAAAAAAAAACAGAGGAAAGCTGAGATACTACACAGGACAGGGTGTGAGCCGACTGTATCAACACCTTCTTGAAGCAGCTACTTCAGAAAGAGCTGTTTGTGTACTATATGGGGCAAAACTTTGATGTGCGTTCACGTCCAGATGATTTTCAATTATGTAACTGTCACGGTAGGAATGATGCAGAGGAAGGGAAAGGGTGGATGAAAAGCGAACATGACAGCCTTCGCCAGTGGCTTTGAAGAACCTCCGTTAGAAATGTCTGCTGTCGTCTCTGCTCAGCGGCTCTCCAGCTTGTCAGTCTGCTGCCCTGACATAACAGTTAGGCACCATCAGGTCACAGTGTCTTACAGTTTCTCGCACACGCCACTTTTTCTTGAAGAACACGCTCATCTTCTACCTTTGGTGTCAGCACTACAGGTATCGGTTACATCAGGTAATTTGAGATGTTGCCTTTTAAGGATTGGAGGGGAGGCGCTGAGTGGACAAGTTGAGGCTGAAAGGCGAGTTTAGGGGTATCCTAAAATACTTTGCCTCATTTACACAACTGCACTCTCTGGCGGAAGGTCCTGTCGTGTCTTCTGCTGCTTGTGATTCAGGACTTGGACTGAGCTAATGATGCACACTATTCATACTGTGTGTTCAGCATGAGCTCATTTAACACCAAGTTCTGCCAACTTATTACACCGTAAACATGCCAGAAAGTTGACCAGATGTAGTTGAAAAGAAAAATAACCCCCGATGTAGACTTTACAATGAGCTATGTCAAAGATTTTTCACAATAAAAGTCGATTTCGAACAAGTTTAAGAGTCTGTAGACATGATAGCATTTTCATGAGGCTATGAAGAAGTCCTTTGAGCAAAATCCTACCATTGGAAACCTAATATGGTTCCCAATGGTACCATGCTAGTATGTTAATGTTAGAAGGTATAATGTTTAACATGTAGTAGCATTCTGCTAATTAGTGCTGAACACAAATACGTGGCAACCAGGGATCCTCAAATGACCACCTGAAGCTGGCTCCAAAAGCAAGTTAATCTCCCATAGACTCCCATGTTAAAATGCCCGACTTTACAGCAGAAATAAACATGTTTACAGCCTGCTACTGAAAATGGTTTCACTTTTTTTTTTTTTTTTAAATATAACTCATCCGTTAAAAAATGCATTTGGTCTTAAAATTATACCCAATTCAGGGCGTGGCCACTTTGAGTGAAAGTTTGGTATCAGCACAGTTAATAGGCGGCAAAGTTATTAGGGTTCATCATTTGCATAGCGTAAATTAAAAATCAAGGCAATTCATTATACAGTTGCTGAGATATTTCAAGGACCAAAGTGGCAGACTGACAAACTCCGGCTTCCCTACAGCCACTTCTCTGGTGTCGCTACAGATGAAGATCAAGAATCTGAACACTTTTTTGAAGTTGTTAAGTTAATGAGTTAGTCAGTGACTCTGCTGGCTCAAGGAGTTTTTGTTTGAGGTTCTACATCAAAATGAGTTTGATTTAAATTAAAAGCTTAAAGCTACGGATCAGAGCCATGTTACCGCCACTGAGTTATTTCAGGACTCGCTGTCTGTATGCGTCTCTGTATGACATCATCGTCACTACAGTCATCACATGCTGCTGTTCAGCTTCTTGAAATTCACAGAACCAAATTAAAACCTGAGAAAGAATGCACAGCATTATTTTAAAGTGGATCTTCACTTTAATATGCTCCACTGTGATAACGGACAACATGTGACGCTGAATCATTCACAAAGAGTGATCAAGGCGATCTGATTGTACCTCCTGCACTCATTCAAGAACCATGGAGGCTATGGTTCACTGCAGCAGATTGTAATGCTCGGAGAAAAAGGCTGCAGAGTGCAGACAGTCATTAACATTCACAGGAGAGGAAGAGGAGGAGGGAGGAGGAGGAGGTGGTGACACAATGCACCATACAAGTTCAAAGAAATACTGTAGCAGACAGACAAAAAAAAACAACCTTCAAGTTCCAACTCCAAGTAGTTATCTAGCCATATGTTACAGAAGTAGGTGAGCTTGAGCCTGAAGAATAACTGGCATAATATGTTTGTTTCTGTGTGGAGGCACATGTTGCTAAAACCTAGAAGCTGTTATGTAACTAAAAGACGTTGAAAATTCAACAAAATATGTATGGTCTCTTCATATTTATGACCTACTGAAATGATAGCCAGCCAGTAGCCAGGTGGGAACAGCCCTGGTATGAAACTGCCAAGAAGATTTATCATCCTCATCTGGCAGCCGTCGCACCTTGCAGCTCCGCCGGGTCACCTCCTATGACATTACATCCTGGTGCCAGGCACACATTGCCCCTAACAGGGCCGTAAAAGAGGGTTTATTAGAAACCCTGTGGGTCTCTTATAGGGATGAAATACCTTTTCCATCCTCCCCTCTTTTAAGAATACCCTGTTGACCACCAAATTATCTTCCCTCTGCATCTGTATTTTGATTGCTTTTTCCACTCTGTTGGATTTCATACTCATGTTTTTCCAAATCAATGTGTTATTTTTTATTTAGCCAACTTTTCTGAAATGCACAGCAGGAGCCTCTTTGCTCCCAGAGACAACCATTACCTTATCATTACTGTACCACACACTGAGTAATTTGCCGGGCAAAGCCCTCCCACGCATCTCATAAGTCAAGTAAGGTTTCAGAGACGAGCAAGAGCTCACCACAGCAGCAAGATCTCTGCTGTCTAGGAGGCATTTCAATAATTAACTTGAAGGCTGATTTTATACAATTCAACTGACACAACTGAGAACAAGTAGAATTCATCTCTTGTCATGTGTATGATGTCTACCTGCTGCAGAAGTTAGAAGACAAGTGTCACCTTTGAATCACTGACTTTCCGAGCTGCTGTGAATGAGGAGGTGGAGCAGTTCGCCGTTTTGTGGTAAATGTCTCCAGTTGAGCCTAGACCCCAGGCCGTAAGACTCTAATTGCTTTCCTGCCGTCCCGGGCTGGATGCAGCGTATCATGTGACACTTTTCTCTCTTTCTTCCTCCGTATACAGCCTCACCCCCTTGACTCTTTCCTCACCCCTGCCCCGAGGCTCCGACTCATATGATCCAGCTTACACAAGGTGAACACACACGGCCATATGCGCAAATTTACATCAGCAGACACCGATCAACTGACCGTGGCCCCTCCGATCTCAGCATGTCAACGATTTTCACCGTTGGGGGATTACTTCACATTTTCTTTCTCACAAATCACACCTCAGAGTCTTGGGATGAAGTGGTGTGGTGAATTAATGATCTATTCTCGTTTCCCTAATGTCTCCTTAAAACAGGGCACAGTGTTAACGGCGGGTTTTGCTCAGGAAAAACATTTCCCTCTCTCTGGCACTGACCGATAACCCCGTCACATTCTGCTGAAAGTGGATACTTACATCCTGCAGCAGAAGCACATTGCAGTGGATTTTTCCTTTTAATTAACCCAGTAATTTAAACAGTGAGTACGCTAATACCTCACGTCTCTACCTATATTTTCTAGGGCACAGCAGTTTTCTAATTAGCAGCCTAATGAGCTGATTGTTTATTTGCTTCATCTACGCGGCTGATGACAATACATTCCTCATCCGGGCTCACAGTCAATCAAGCCTCTCTCTGTTTCTCATTGGTATGCTACTCTGAAAGCTGCTGAGCACTTAACCAAGCCAAAATGCGATGCATTATTTACACATGTAGCCTGTCCTCAGCTATGTGTGTGTGCCGGTGGGAGAACAGAGGAGGAGTATGAAAAAGTGAGTAATGAATATTAAATGCATAAGCAGCGTTGTGAAGGCTTTAGAGTTCATTGTAACAGCCTGAGAGCAGTGACTTAGCCAGGTCTTGAACTGAAGTGGAGAGCTTTCAGGATCACATTCCCTGTTGCATGCAAATCTGCTATTGACTCATTTCACTTATACATATTAATAAAGTAGCTCTTTACCGTTTATTGGCCTGGAAGTGTTGATCTACTTACAGACATCTTGCAGAAGTTTCCAATTTAAAGTTTTATTAAACCGTTCACTCCTTATATCGTGTGTTGAGGAAAAAATGGAAATTAGGTGAAGTGATTTTCATTCATAACCATTCTATAATGGCAAACCATAAACTCATAATTACTGCCACTTCTTCTGGAACGTTTGTCGCAGTCCCATCGGTGAAGTATACCGACTCATCGCTGGACAGATCCCAGGATCGTCCCTGACCTTTAGAAGTCAAAGTGGCTGTCTGAAAATTTCCTGGGTGCAGTCATACGTCTAATCCGTTGAAGAATGCAAACCGCTACAGCATATTGTATTTTGAACTCGACCATGTATTAACAAAATGAACTACTCTGCACAGGTTGCCAGAGATTTCCCTCATTTTCTCGACTAAGACGGAAGAAATACGCGACAAGATGATTTAAAAATAGAAGAAAACAGAAGCCCGATCAAGATAAATGGCACATAATGATATAATTCATCACCATAATGTTTAAAAATAGCCTGTAATGTCACCGTGTACATTAATGAGCCCAACGAAAGGAGAACATTTTGTAACGACGTCGCCATGTGACATATGTATTCATTAATATGAAATTTATATCTTCAAAACATGAATTCATAGTCATCTCAAGAAAATGCTTAGTTCTTCATTAAAATGTAAATTTATTCCAGCAGCAGCCTCTTCCATAGTGGAAGCCTGACAATGCAGCGTTTTGATAATGCATTGCACAACACAGATTGTCCACTATAAAAACATAATGACATGTGTAATCGAGGTGGGAGACAGAAGAGGAAGTCAGAAGCAGACTTAGAAGTACTTCTGCTCTATAAATCGTTAAGGTGAAGTCTAATAAAGCCTGTGTGTTTAGCAGTGATAAAAGGTCCTGTGTCAGTTTTATTATGGTACCAGTGTGGAGGGGAACAAGTCTCGCTACCTGTGGATCTGTCCATTCTTGTGTAGGTACTCCAGGCCCTCGAGCACGTCTTTCAACACGGTGGCTATGCTGGCCTCGTCCAGGACGCCCGTCTTGTGCTCGCCTCGCGAGATGATATGCTTGATCACATCCAGCACTGAGCCTGGAAAACAAACAAACCTGGTTGATAAAAAGGCTAGACTTACAACATCATTCTTTTATCTATGCTAAAAAAGTACATTTGTGATTGTCAACAGCAGACAGTCAGACAGAAAAGCAAACCCATCCCCCCCAAAAAAGGCCAATGAAACAATTTTTTCTGGTTGCAACTGATGACAACATGACTCTCAACAAAAACACATTTATGAAAACGCATACTTCCCGTTGGATTGGCAGATATTCAGTTAAGTTAATTCATGTATAATCTTATATTGTTTGGGTAAATTAGATTTTGAGGACACAAGGACCATTTTTTTCCCAGTTCCAGTAAAAAAACAACAAAAAAAAGGATTTTATTGAAAATCCAAATGATTTAGTTGTGTCAAGTCAGAAAGTCCTAACCCGTAAACAGCAGCGTGACCTTTAAACTCGGCCATGGCAAAACAAACCAATCACGGAGGGAGACGAGACAGAGCATTCATTACCATACATTTTAAAGGGTAAAGCCACTCGCTGAAACAAATTTATGCCGTGCAATCTATGATTTTTAAGTCTGAAGGAGAAAAAAGCATCGGCACCTGAACTTATGACATTTTTTGGTCTACTAACTTTAATGTAGAGTGTAGAGACACACACAAAGTTTGTTTGTGATTTTTCATGCAAATGAGCTCCATCTGAATGTTGAATTCAAAGCTTATAGTCACAAAATGTGCAGAGTTAAAATCACCATGGCTACTGTCAGAGACACTCTATTATTTGCTGTCTATAGCTCCAGGATTTAACTCTTAATCATATCGTCATTACAGTCTGCCTCGCTGCAGCTCACTTTAACTTGTTCAAATTCATTATTTAGGCGCGAATCAGACTTTAATGACGTTGCAACAGAGCAGAAATCTGCTCCACACTAAGTGTGCAGGTTAATATTTGAGGGTATAAGTCAAACAGTTGCTTTTGTCTTCGCTAAATGGAGAACCAGTGCAGCTCTGCTAACTGACCTGGCCTGGTTAGGGCTAAAAAAGACAGGTCGCCATGTCTCCCACAGCCTGGCTCCTGCTGCATAAAGGAGTGCTCTGGCTGAAAAGTCAGACTGCTGTCGGTGTATGATTTCCTTTGTGCGACTTTCCACAGAATAAAGAACATCTCTCTGAAAAGAGGTTCAGTATTTGCATTCGGTATGACACAAAATTGGACAACACTGGTGAATGGGGACAAAGCAGAGGAGCCAAAAGAGTGTCACTTGCCTGACAAGCTTTATTGTGCTGCAGTGATACACCAACACAAACATCACTCTGGCACACTGTCTGTCTGTCCCTGCCTCTCTAACACACACACACACACACACACCCAACCTCAGCTGCAGCACTTGCAAACAAAAGCTGGAAATGGCTTCTTCAAGGTCCAGAAACTGTTCATGACACAATTCCAGGATTAAATTGATTGTGTTTTAGCAACAGTGCCAGGCTAGGGGTGCAAAGATATTTATTTGCTCAATCATTTCAGGATGTCCTCGCCCGCGGCACTCAGTCGAGCACTCACTGCATTACCCAGGGGAGCCACGGATGATGGGCCACCTGAGACTAGACAGCGTTATTGCACAGTCGCAGACACAGCGAGACAGAAAGGCAGAGTAAGAAGGGAGTGAGGGAGAGGCGCTGAGTTCAACGGGTTCTTCGTGCAGTGACAGTGCACAGAAGAAAATGTGATTCAGCACCGAGGGAGAGAAGACAAACCCATTCAAAGCGAAGGCGGTGGAGGGAAGGCGGGAAAAAGCATCCTGGATGTGTGTCTGAGTGTGTGAGACAGTGGGTGTATATGTGAGGATGTGAGTGAGTGAATCGAGGGGGGGAAAAAAAAAAAAAGTGAGAGGAGAGTGTAGGAAGAGTGCAGCCTAGCGTCTCTGATGTGACAGCTCTTTGAAGCTCATTGAGAAAAGGCTGCCTGTTTGATTTTCCTTCTCTGTTCCTCCTTCACACACGGTTCTCCTCCTCTCTCTGTGCTTCTGCACTCGGTCTGATTTTCATCTCCATGTCTGAAATGGCTGGAGGGAGGAGAGGTAGTGACAAGAAGTGACAGGTGACAACGAGGAAGGAGCTGAGAGGGAATCGAGCCGAGTCCAAATTAGATGGAAATGCAGTCCTAATGAGCTCACAAATGAATGTGTGATTACATGAGAAAGGGGCCAAGTAGTTAATGTGTCTGACCTTATAGTCTTGCTCAACTGGATATGAAAAGTTACAGCCCCATTTTATCTTTATATCATTAAAGAAATAGTTTGACATTTTGAGAAATGTGCTAATTCGCCTTCTTGCCATGAAGTCTTTACGCTCAGCGTGATGCTACTGCCTGCAGCTGGCTAACTCAGTTTAACTTAAAGAAAGCCAGATCCTGTCCACAGAAAACAAAACCTCTCTACTGTACATCTAAAGCTCACTAATAAACATGTTCATTTGTTTCCCAAATTGTCACCCATTTTCTTTAAGGAAACTAAAGATATACAAAGAGGTTAAAGCAAGACAAACAGTGTCGAGCAAATAATTTTCACAAATTATACACTGACAAGTCTCCTTTAAGCTGAGGTGGCTCTAGGAAAAGGTCCTGAAGTGCTGACAAGCACAGCGTGATGCGGGCTTTGGAGGATCACTAAATGCCAGCCTTGTCAGCCTCTTTCAAATTCATCTGATTGAACTCTTCATGCCTCATTAGGCTGTTTCAGCAAGCTGACACTGACTGACAGGTTAACAATCCAAAGGTTCATTCTGCATGGGAAAGGCAAGACAAACGACACCTGTTGGCCTGGTTCGAGCGGTGCATGTCCAAAACCCCAGAGGAAGAGTTTATACGAATCTCTAGGAATAAATTAAGTCTTGACAGCGGAGTGAACTGTACAGCATGCAAATACTCAGGAAAATGCCAAATCATCACTTCAGTTACATGCTGGATTAACCAAATCTCTCCCTTTCTTAGGACTTTAAACAAAAACTGTACCCGTGTAAAAGCCAGGGATTCAACATAACCCTGCTCAACTCCGCTTCATCCAAGAACATCACCTTTACAGCCGTTCTGTTTTCCTGGTCAGAGCAGGAGCTTTGGGACCGAGGGAGAGGATGAGAGAGTAAAAGGGGCGGGGAGAGAGGATATGGGAGGTGGACGAAGGAGAATAGAGCTGGTGCCAACTGTGCTAAAGGCCCATGTGGAATGCCAAGTAAAGTCGGAGGAGGAAAGTGAGGGTGGGGCATGGGAAGGACTGCAGCAAGGTATGGGCGGCGTTAGAGAAGGGTTGTTGGCTCAGGCCGAACTTTTAATTACTTACACAATTTTCTCAAAGGGAAAGCCCAATATGACACAAAAGTGAACAAAGATAATTCTGCACGTAAAACAGAGTTTCATCATCTTCATTCTTGCTCCCTGTCAGAATTTTGGCAATAGTTGAGGGCCACCTTATGATGTGACAAACCCACTGAATAAGAATCTGCCTTTAGCTGGAGTCTACGCAGAGTAGCATGCGACTGAGCTCAGCAGCAGGCATGATAGGTCGGGGAGAGCTTCACATTAATTTTCTGGGAACACATTCCTCTGCTTGCTTTGGCATGACTCATATTCTGTCCCTGTGGGTTTCCTCCCCGATGTGAATTCAGTCAGTGACAGGTTATGCGGCACTCTAAAGAAACAGTTGTTCACATGTCACATACAGAACAGGAATTTCCTGAAAAGCCCTACGCCTGCAGCACATCTACTTCGAAACTCAGCTCTACAGGTTCGGCCTTGAACGGATTTGTCGGGGAGGAGGTCTGTCCTGAATGCAGAACAGATCTCTTGGTTGAGTTGTGTGAACTCATGACATAATGCCTACAACAGGATACTGTAATGGGACCTAGGATTGGTTTAAAAAGCATCACCGCTAACTTACTATTCGGAATTTTTTAATTCACCATACAAGATAAATTCTGAGCAACACCAAGATGAAAAGGTGACTAATCATATGCTGCTCTCGTTCCAGTGGTATATGCCAGTTAACAGTGTTATGACACTGCTGTCAGTTAAGAGTGGAACAGACCAGTTGAAGACCAATAAAATGCAGTTTACGGGCCACAGGTGAAAAAAGTGTTTTACAACTAGTTAAAGTGGCATACAACTAAGAAACTGCACCCATTTATTCATTACTTTTAGTGATCAATTTTGGTTTCTTGGCTCATTGGCTTTCACACCCTCTAATTAACTATATATGGTCTTAAAGTTGGGTTAGGCAGGAATCTGAAAAAGGCAATAAAAAAGATACACTCCTCCCTCTTCCCTCTTTTCTAAGTCCCTCGAACCAGAGGAGGTTCAAATCCGCAAAGATAGTCGAGCTAAAAGTCTACATTGATTTGTGGCGTCACACTAGACTCGAACCTGGCCGACCCGTTACAGCACCACATCCTCCTCTTTCCACTGACTTAGTTGTGATCTCACCTGTTATGGGCGAAAACGCCCAAGATTGGCTAAATATTTCTAAAGCTTGAAAACGGAGCCAAGAAGAGGTGCAGATGTTTCCTCTCAGACCACATGAATTACAAAATTCTGAAAGGTTATCATGGAGTTTTTTTCCCCCCAATAATGCCAAAAAATACCGCCCACCCCAGTCACGTAGACGATACAACTAACTGACCTTGTTGGTCTGCCGGAGTTTGTAGTTTATAAGAACTGCTGTAACAAATATACTAAAGATCAGTCTCACATTGTTGCACACCCTGGGGTACAAATACTCCTAGCTGGGAATGAATGTACTGGTGAAACACAACAGCGTATTATCTACTAGAGCCCCAAGCCTGTAGCACAGCAACAGTCAAAAATAGCATCCAAAATATGTCACAAAAATACAAGTTGCTTGTCATCAGTAAAATTAGTGTCTCAGGCATATTAAAAAGAGGCTACCCTGACATGATTGTTTACATACTGCTTTTGGAAACATCTGCTAATTATTTAGCTAAGCTGGTGCGAGTGAGTAAGACGGTATGTAATCTAACATTGTTCTCCATTAGCAATGACACCTGTAGGAATGTGCATCCATCATGTTGCACTTCTACAATAAGCCGTCACTATAAAAGCTTGTCAGAGCTTTGTCAGATCAACTGTCGAGCTGTTATTCGTTTTTCAAAAGCGGAAGGCACAAGACAGGATGGAGTCGGAGGGTGGAGGGTTTCTTACGCTCCATCAAGCCGGAGGAGCAGACAGGACTTGGCCTTCCTCTGGGCTGGTATGCTCTGCCCTGTGGAGTGATGGTCTATAAACTCGACCTCATTTGAGGTCTGTCTCCATGGCAGACGTCGCCATGGCCATCATTTAATTACTCCACACAATAAAACTCAACATCAAGGGCCCCTGTTTAACTAGGATAAGGGGAATGAGAGAGGCCATCTTAAGTAGTGTCTGCTCCTGCTGTGAGGCTGGCCGTCTGCTCAAGCGTCGCTTGGCGGGCACTGTGCCCTGGGCCCAGCTGCAACGCGGCTGCCAATGGGCTCATGACTCAAGTGCATCTGAGGGAGCCAGGCATGCCACCTGGGCACTATCCGTTACAGTGGGACGCTGTTTACACAGGGGACCTGAGAGAAACAAGGGAGGGCAGAAATAGAGTGTAAATGTTTAGTGTGTGGATGTATCTGTGTACATTTGTACCAGGATAATTAAGTGTGTGAGATGAAACCAGGGTGGAAAGGGAGATGAGTAGCAATTTTGTGCATCTCTGTAAACAGATAACCTTTGCTTTCATCAAGTTGCTCCTTCTTGCTTATCAAATGTTTGGCACAGGACACCTTCATCTGCATGCTGTTTGTGTCTAGCAGCTCTAAACGGTCTTGGTTAAAATCTCTTCTCCCCCACAGGTTGATGGAGAACAACAAATACTTTATCAGTTACTGTAGTTTTATAATTTGTTTTACAATGCTGCTCACAAAAATAAAACCCAAAAACACAATTAGATCCAGATGCAATTGTTGCATTCTGAGGTTTTAGCCTCCATGGTGGCCTCCTCTTCACGCTCCTCTCACTAGTTAATTGCAGCGCTGCCACATGGATGCCATGACACCAGCCTGTGGGCTGTTATTACCTCTGCCCTGTCATTAGCTGCTGCACTGTACTGAGTTAAAGCCCGGAAAGAGCTGCAGCTCACAAGGGGCACAATGAGGATCACTGTTGTCATATTCCCTGCAATCACATCCTTTACAGCAAGTAGCCCAGCTCTTCCTACTGGCCCCCTCTCATTATGAGAGGCCAAGCCCATACTGAGTTAAGGCTAGCAGGGCAAGCCAAATCATCCTCTGGGCCCCGTCTCAGACAGTAATTTCTTTTTCATTAGCAAACAATCACATTTATTTATTTGTCTGTCCATGATATAGATAGTCAGATTGGCAGGCATAAGTCGAGGGCAGTGTAATAAAAGCTTTAAAGCTCTTAAAAGATTTATACTGCGTACTTACCACCACTGAGCAGCTTCATAACCAGCCACAGCTCATCCTTTACCACAAAGGAGGTGTAGTAAGACACGATGTTGGGGTGGTGGCACTGGCTCATGGCCTGAATCTCTTTCTGTTAGAGAAGAAAAGATGAAAGAGACAAAATCCAATTAATCAGAACTGTTTGATGACAGACTATGAATTTATTTTCCATTGGTTAGATAAAGCTGGTGTAATCTGTTAACACGCTGTGACATCAGCTTTTGGTGGAAATAGGTTGAAACATTACAACACAGCCAATGCAATTTTATTAATGACGTGAGTCTTGAAGAAAACAAACATTTGTAGAGCAGTTAGAAGATATGGTATGAGTGAGTTGAACTGACGCTAAATATTCTTACTCGACTTTTTTCCAAAAGCTGTGAGGAACTAAACTGAATGCAGTCACAATAAATGCTTTTTCCTTTGATGCTTCAGCTATTCTTGAAATTTAGTGCGATACTTAAGATCATCATGACGTCAGTAGTCAGAAGAGAAATAGGCTAGGTCATTGTAATGCACATCTATGCAGAAGCAAAAAAAACAAAAAAAACAGCCAGTACTCAGCCTTTATACAGCTGTAAAGCTCTTCCTCTGTGTGTGTGTGTGTGTGTGTGTGTGTGTGTGTGTGTGTGTGTGTGTGCGCGCGCGCACACTTGGAAAGCAGAGGAGCTGAGGTAATGCTGGCACTGAAGTCTAATCCATCACTTCAGCACCAGTCCAAAAGTCATTTGAGGATAGACAAGCTTCCTGAGAGAAATAAAATCAAGCTGACTTCGGAGGTGGGACCACTGACTCAAAGAGGTTTCGCATTTGTTTCTGCTCTTGAGTACTTGAGCACTTGACAAATGGTAGAACCTGTAGCTGGAGCCCCACAGTTACATTCTGCATGTGAACCACGACATCTTTGTACTTGTTGCGATCAAAAGGGATGTAAGTACTTGAGACCTAACTGAAGTGAGTTATCAGGGTATCAGGTTAATACAGCTAACCAGTTATTAAATCCTTGCGGTCGTCCAAGAATAATACTGCCGGGTTTTTCCAGCTCAGGATGGGCCTTTGGGGGGTGACAACACAAAACACTAAACGTGATCGATGTGCGTGCAGTAAAGGCAATAAGTCTGCGTTACCTTATTTGACAGAAATCTATGCATTTTCCTGTTTTTTCTGAAAATAAACCCTCGAAAACCCTGTGCTGCAAATAAGTTTGAAGGTTTTTATGAAGTGCCAACTAATGTTTATATTACAGGGAAAGAACAGTTAAAATACTACAATATTACCAAACTGAAAATCCTAGTTCCTTTGAAAACAAAGATGAAGTTTATTTAGAGCTGACATAATGGCAGTAATTCAGATACAAGTGTTAGTGGACAGAAAGCTACTGGCAGTGAATAAAGTAACTGAACACTCATTCATTAAAAAAAAAAAGTTTTTTACCATCTTCAAAATTAATATTTGCCATTTTATTCAGCAAACTATCAAGCAAATGAAATTCTTTGGATTCTGGACTGCTGGTTGGAAAAAAACAAAAAAAACAAGGTTTCAGAAAATATCACCTTCAGCTCTACGGGAAATTGAAGAATTTTCTAACATTTCCTGATTATTTAAGATCTCAAAACACTATGAAAGACAGATTAACCACTAATGACATTAATAATAATTTGCAGCTATTGTCTAATCATGAGTGCAGGGATGCAAGATTATGACCAGAATGATAATAACGATTATCTTGATCAATATTGAGATCAAGATTATTCACTGATTTTATACAAACAGCACTGCTTTCTTTTGAACATTATGCTATATTTCTGGTAACGTACAAATCTATACATCAGAATAAGACTTAAGGTTCTTCTTCACCTGAATTCAATGAATCTTCTAGAGCCTCAGTTGCTGAACATCTGCTTAATAGATAGAATAGACAATGATTGAAAGACTATTACTGATAGACACTACAATTAAAACCATGTCATCTAAACACCTCACATGCAGGCTAAAGTAGACGCTAGCTCAGCATACCATCAAGTTTCCTTACTCATTTACTACAGTACACCAACTAAACAGGTATGTGACCAAAATTTACGTAAGAAGTTCTAATGTCGGATTTATGCAAGTTCAAAACAAGTGATTTTATCGACATGGGCTATGTTTTATAAGCAGGGTATTTAATATGTCGATATCACAATTAATCGGTACAGATAAATGTTACAATGCAAACTCAGAATTGTTCACAATAGTAGCATTTCACCTGAACATTTTTAATATTTGAAGGAATAAGTGGGGAATACAATTCTTGCACATCAAACCCAGAGTCAAAAGAAAACACTGACATTAAATTAATGTGTATGTGTCAAACATGTCACACACCAACACACTGCACCTTATGACTTAATATACCACAACTAATATAACTAGGTGAGCTTTCCCCCCATTTTTCCAGTTTTTGTGCTAAGCTATCCTAAACATGTCCCAAACCTTTAGAAACTCTGTACTGGATGCACCGAAGTACAATCAGTATCGACCTTCGGAACTTATGGTGGGTTTTACCACAATTTATCATATTTCCTCGAATTTCCTAGTGTTTCGAATACAAGTATTGATTTTTTTTTACCATGACAACCAAAAGCCTGTCAAAGGAGAAACCTTAACACTCAAGCTGAAAACATTTGTAAAAGCCATCAATCGATAGATGCTCGTAGGTCAAACAGTAAGCAATCGAAGTCAGATATTCCATCAGCATAAATGCTTAGCTTACACAATGTGCATTAGCAGCAGTGTGCCTCTGCTGTGAAGCCATCACTATTGAGCCTGTGGTCTTCAGTTACAGCCTTCAACAAGAAGTACTACGGCAGACAAGGGACATCATGGTGTCTCTACAAGGCATTTGACCAAGAAGGGATAAAAACATGAACCGAGTCATAATAAGGGTGGATACAGACTCTGCATGAAAGTCATCAGACTATGACAGGTATAGACATGTTTAAATGCACACAGACCTGTAAGGTCAACTGTTCTGAGGACTGACAGTCAAAAAATAGAAGAGATTAAGAAATTTACAAGCTACAGAGCCTATAAAAAAGAATTCCCCACCTCGAAAGTTTCATTCTTCTATTGCTTTTCACCATTTAATCATGGTCAATTCAGAAAAAAAATACTTTTTCATTACAAAGTAAAAACAGATTTCTACCAAGTAATGCCAATTAATTAAAAATATAGGATGTGAAACAAGTGATTCCATAGGTACACACCTCCTTCAAAGCAACTCACCTAATTCAATAGAGGTGCAGTCAGTTGGTCATAGATGTCATACAATTACTGAAATGGAGATCATCTGAGTGCCTTACGTCATTGTAGCATAAAGACGCCTGTATCTGGAAAGTCCAGTCACTGGTGAATCAGTACCCCTGGTTGTAACAACACCACAAAGACAAAAGAACAATTCCACCAAGACACCTATGACCGGACTGAGGGAGTTACAAGCTTTAGCAGCTGTAATGGGAGAGATTATGTGTACAGCAACTGTTGCCTTTACTTTGATTGGAGTGAAAGTTTTATGGGAGAGTGGCAAAGAGAAAGCCACCGTTGAATAAAGCTCACATTAAAGGAGAGCTCAGGAGGCATGTGGGGGACATTAAAGTCAAATGGAAGAAGATTCTTTTGCCTGATGAGACCAAAATTGAGCTTTTTGGTTTACGCTATGTTCTACGGACATGAAACACTGCACATGATCACAAACACACCGTCCCCACCGTGTAGCATGGTGGTGGCAACATCATTATTTGGAGATGCATTGGCAGGCCCTGGAAGGCTTGTAAAAGTAGACTATAAAATGAATGCAACAAAGTATAGGAAATCCTGGAGGACAATCTGGTGCAGTTTTGCAAAAGAACTGCAATAAAGACTGTTTTTTTCCAGCAAGACAGTGACCAAAAGTAGACAACCAAAGCTACACAGAAGTTTAAAGATAATAAAGTGAATATTCTGGAGGGGCAGAGTCAGAGCCCAGACCTTAATCCAACTAAGAATTTGTGGCTAGACTTGAAAAAGGCTGTTTGCTCACGATCCCCGTGTAACCTGATGGAGCTTGAGCAGTTTTGCAAAGAAGAATGGGATAAAATTGGAATGTCCAGACGTGCAAGACTGATTTAGACGCATTGACACAGGCTCTAAGCTGTAACTGCTCCCAGACGTGCATTTACTAAACACTGACTATAAGGGTGTGAATGCTTGTCCAATTGTTTATTTTATGTTTTAGATTTGTATTTTATTGACATTCCTTTTTCTGAACAAATGTTTCACTTTGGCATGTAAATTCTTGTCAAAAAAAAGACAACAAGACCATGATTCAATATTGAAATAGTAATAAAAGGGGAAAGGTTTTATTAGACATCATACCAGGTTGCATTTAAATTGACAAGTACTAATGTTCTGGCCAACAGGTGAGCCCACATACCACCCTGGTTCTAAACTAAGCTGCTCCTGATTATCAAACAGTTGAATAATTTCCAGTCTGTTGAGCCAGACAGCGAGCGATGTGGGTTGTCTCCCCCATCATTCTGTCTCTGGATACTGCAGAGAGGGAATAATGATGATATAGCCTGCTGGCTGCTAAACTGGCTTCAGCGAAGCCCTCCCACCCCCCTCTGTTCTCAGCACAGTGAGGAGGCAGGTCACCACAGCTCTGTGGGCCAGGGTAACCCCAGAAAAGAAAAACAATGGGATAACAGGGAGGATATCGTGCTCTGGCAGTTGGCAGGTTTTCCCATCTTTTTCCAGCAGACAATGTGAGAATGAGAGAGACGCTTTGTTGTGAGGATTAGGTCACTGTAAACCTATGCTGCAGCAAAGATCCTGGAAATGTTCTCATCACTCAGAGCCATTCATACCCCTTCTCACTGTGTAACCTTCAACCTGCAACCGTTGACATATGATTCAATTTTTCCTCTGTGGAGGTTTTTACAGATATCTCAGCTCTGACTGGAAAAACAAAGAGATTTCTGAACACTTTTGCTTGATGTAAAGGCACGTCATGCCTGTACTTCTCCTGCATGAACTGCGTCATTGGCCTATAAATTTTACTGGGATACTGACTCAGAGAAACAGACCGGATGGGTGAAAAAGCAGAGATGATAAAAGGGACTATAAGGCAAATAGGATCTTTGGAAATACTTCTTCAGCCCTAACATCAGTTTTATCAGGATCTTTATCCATACATAAAAGAAGGGAGAACTCTCTCTTACTGTCTTTTTACTTGCAGTAAACTTTATTGGAAATACAATTCCCTGACTGGTCTCAGCCGATTAAGTGCTGGGTATATCTGTCTGGCATTTTCATTGTTCCTCAGTTTTACCTGATGAAGGTCTAAAGACCGAAACATTGGATTTCTAATAAAGTTTAGTGCAATTGAAAGGACAGTGTGTAGGTGTTCTCTTCTCTTACTGATACCTCCTACGCAACAGACTACAAAAATCCATAGATATGCATGAGTGTTTCAGTCAAGATCAAGAAGTTTATCGAAAGAGAAAACTCATTCAGTCTATATCATCATTAACTATGTCTGGTAGGTGGCAATTACACGTTTTTAGACTTCAAATTGATTCTCACTAGTTTGTCTGGGGAAAAGAAGTCCAAGTCAGACACATTTTTGCTGACATTTGATGAATTTCAGTCTTGGATTTAAAACAGTTTCTGCTTAGTGACTGATCAGCTTCAAATGATAAAAAAACAGCGCAACACGTCTTCCAGACAGTCTTTCTTCTGGCCTTTATTTTGTCGTGGGTGTTGTGTTGACTTCATACTAACACACAGAGCAGTTTTATGCCTTGCATTCAACCTGCAAACCACAACAGACACACCTGTCTGGCATTACACGCACAGCCATCTGCTCCACAAATGGTTTCGTTATTCCCTGATTACAGTTTGGATTTAATATATGAGTCATTCAAGACATCAAAAGAAGAGTTTACGGTGACCTGTGTAGGCCATCATTATCAAATTAATAGAGATAATGACCATCTGTGTTATATTCACACGCAGTATGCCATTAGATTAGTATATTTCATGCTTCCCACTGCTTTTGGATGTTGGAACGCCATCATCTATCTGAACTGATTAAAGAAGATCACGGTGATACAAATTTACATTCAGTTGCTAGCGTTCTGTTTACTAAATGCTTTGGTACTTAACACTAACATTTGAATGCCACAGATGTTGCCATGAGAAGCAGCTGAGAAACTTCTTTGTGTCACAATGAAATCATATATACGTTTTAAAACTGTTAACATTTCATCTATAACATAAACACACCCTATTTAACGATACATAGGAGACGGTTTTCTCTTAATTCTAAGCCTTTGACATGAGACGTTATATGCTTCTAAATTAAAAATATAACTCAACTCCATCTTTATTTATGGAGGATGAGCAGCCAGAGGGTGGGCCAAAACTTCTGATCAATAACAACATCCAACCATCATCCCCACCCATCTAATAAAACTGTCTGTCTCTCCCTAATTGAAACACTGGTACAGTCAGCGACTTTTGACGGATACTTTCTTAACATTGCGTGCCATCCCACAGTCGTTTTTTTGAAATAATGTGAGTAAAACAGGGAAGCGAGACGCTCTTTAAAATGTCACTGTGACATGAGTGATGCTGCGTTGCCTAATGCCATGAAGAGAACGGAAAGTGACTTATTCTCTCAATCTTGTGATGGTACTAAAACTTTACGATCACGACATGCTAATCCCCAGCTGAACCCTGCTTTAGCCCACAAAGTAAGGAAACACTTTCCAGGAAATAGACCAGTCCATGCCAATTGCGTTTTCCTATATTACGCCTGAGCTATTCACTATTTGTCGTGTCTGAGGACCTTGAAACTGAGCAAAAAATAAATGACCTATTGTCACGCTGAATACAGTGCTGGGTCACAAACTGGTGCCACAGAATCACACTGATGGCAGACACACAGAGAAGCCACTATAGAAGCAATGTTACGTCACTATCGGTTACTCAGAGCCTCACACACACACACACAATCGCTATGACTCAATCCCACTGCAGCACGCACACATACACACGCATAAATACTAAGAGGCTGCTGATCTGCAAATCATGACAAAATGTGCTACAGTGTTATCTTAATGTCAGGTAGTAGTCCGATTCAGATTGCTGTGCCAGAAATACATATTTTTACCTCAATACGAGGTGCGTCAAAAAAGTTCCAGGACTGGTGTCACAAAAGATATATTTCAAACCCAAACTACAAACTACAAGTTTTCCCTTTCAGTCAATCAAACAGCACGTCTACAAAGAGATCCTTTTGCTTTGTTCAGTGCACGAGAAGATGTGAGAGTTGCTGCAGGACAAGTCATGGCTGCTTCACCATCACAACGTGCCTGCTCACAATGCCCCGAGCATCTGACGGTTCCAGGCTGAGAAGAACATCACCGTGCTGGAGCAGCCTCCCTACTCACCCCACCTGGCTCTGTGGGATTTTTTTTCCTCTTCCCCAACCTCAAGGGGGTCATCAAGGGGACCCGTTCTGACGACATCAAGATGGCTGCGACGACGGAGCTGCACAGGATCCCGGAAGAATCCTTCCAGGAGTGCATGACAATGTGGCAGAGAAGGCTGGGGAAGTGTGTTAGACTCCAGGGGGATTACTCTGAAGGGGAAAACTTGTAGTTTGCAGTTTGGTTTTGAAATAAATCTTTTGTGACACCAGTCCTTGAACTTTTCTGACACACCTCGTATCGGTCTCCAGCCACTCTGACGTCAAGGCATTCAGGGATCTTTTACAGTCCAAAATTGATTCGTACTGCTTTAAAAGAAAAAAAAAAACAAAACAGCTAGTAACACAGTGGATCACATTTTCCTCTGAGTTTCAACAAATACGTTAAAGTTGAAACAATTGTGTAATTCTCAGCGAGCCTCTAAATCATCTGATCCAGCCAGAGTCATTCAAAAGCACCTGACCATTAAACTCTTGTGCCTGGAATAACTACGACACAGCATTGCAAATGAAGACACAAAGATGCGACACATTATTGCTTTTTTGGCATCCAAAAACTTAAGATTGAAGACCTGCAGGCCTCTTTAAAAGTTGTCGCATCCTATTTTATAGTTGCTTTTTTTAGAGAGGCAATCTGGGTTCAATTTAACGCTTCCTCGATGTTTAACCGTGCACCCAACAGGCTGTGGAATTGGGGGGGGGGGTGAACGGACCACAGGCAGGAAATCTGATCTCGCTGTATTCCATGTGACCGCCTGCTCCGAGAATCCGGGAGCAACATTCCCCTGATTCATCCTCCAGAATTCGGGGGGGGTGGGGAAAGGTTCCTTCTCGGTATAGTGTTGCCATTGAATAGTGAGCAACCTGCCAGCGTTCTCTAGCCATGATCTTCCTGCACGCATATACGCTTACACAATATTTATTTCCCACAGGTTACTTTCGCAGACTTTTGGATGAGTACTCGAGAGGACTGGAAAAATACATCAATCTCACGTCAAGCCTAAGTGAACAAAAGCTCATTTTCCATTGTTGGATAAAAAGCTGAGATCAAGTGTGTGAGTGACTGTGTCTGTGTGTGTGTATGCTGTGGAAAAAATACATTTAAAAAAGTGAACTGACAGTTACTACATAATTTTTGCCCTACATTGCGTCCAAGCCAAGTAGTGCGACATATTTCCTCTTTATTGCTCTAAAAAAAAGGTGGTTAAAAATAAAAGAACTGTCAAGCAACCGTTGAAAAGTAAGCCACAAATTTTAAAAGTACATGCTTTGACAAATACATATTTCATTCGAGAGACTACTTTTCCCCAACAAAGCCGGGACACACAACAACCACGAACAAGCACCTGATTATTTTTCTGTGCAGAGGAAATTGATATAATCCTTCCATCTCTTGAACTAAATTGCAAACCACGTCATAAAGTAAATGATGTGCTGTGCTGCGGTGCAAGATTGTATTGAGGGTATAAACACACAATACAGTCTTCAGGAAGATATCCCTGTGGTGGTCTAATAGTTTCCTGGCAGTAAGTGGAGTCCTCCTTCAGAGAACAACCAGAATAGTGTTTGAAGTGACAGGGATGATTGGAGGAGGGCTCAGAGAAAACGAGTAATGAAAAGCAGAGGTGGAACTAACTCCATCCACATGCGCTGACCACAGAGACAAAGCCTTGAATGAGATCTTGTGCTGTAAGGCAGTAGCTGCCTTTGATCACGCGTGACAAGTAACAAGGTCACAAAAATGTTCAGTCTAATATGCATTCACTGAGCAGTGTTGGGTGTCTTACCAAGAGTTCGTCCATACTGGTCTGGCACTTCTCAAGGTTGATGCGTTTGATGGCCACCTTCTCCTTGCGAGGTATACAGTAGGCTGCTTGAACCACTGCTGTGGCCCCACTCCCTAAAACAGACAGGAAAACAACCTATTATCAGTCTGATTACACATCTATTCATCCGTTTTCTACCGCGTCTGAAGTTGGGTTGCAATGGCAGCAGCCTAAGCAATGAAGTCCCTGTCTCTAGCAATGTTTTGCAGCTCCTCCTGGGGGAATCTGAGGTGTTTCAGGGTGAGATTAGATACACAATCTTTCCAGCATATTCTGGATGTACCATGGGGGCTTCCTTCTAGTTAGATGTGCCCAAAAAACACTAACAGAAGGCACCCGGGAGGCATTGTAATCAAACATCCAAACCACCGAACCTTTCAACGAACAGCGGTTCTCGTTCAAGCTCCCTCCAGATGTCTGAACTTCTCACCCTGACTGTAAAGGTGATTGAAGCCACCCTGTTTAGGAAGCTCATTTCAGCTGCTTGTATTCAAGATCTCATTCCTTCAATCATTAACCAAAGCTCATGACCATCGGTGAGGGGGGAAATGTAGATCAGATAAATCAAAAGATTTGCCTTCTGGCTCAGTTGATCATTCAAAGTCATGTCAGTCAATACAAGACCGCCTGTGTTGTTGTAAAACTTTTGCATGTACAGCACAGTGATGTCAGGTAATATCCACATCTTTAAGCCCTGTGGGTGCCTTTCAGTTGTCTGCCCCTTTCCATACCCTGTCGGCATCCAAATCATAGTTACTGCTGGATAATAAACTTCACTTTTATCCATCACCTAAACAAAAAACTGCCGAGTTCATAAAGGTTAAATGGAATTCTGCTCAGACAGTTTATCCGATTTCTCTTTGGTCCAGCTTAACCGTGTGTTCATCAATTATGAATCAGCTTTCCCAGAGTCCTGTCTAATGAAGCAGACCTGATCGGAGCCGGTGACTAAACCAAGCACATCCCCAGGAGGCTTCGGTAGGAGGCTCACGCCGGATAAGCCCAAAGGTCTTATGCTATTTAGAAATGTCCTTTTTTTTGTGGCACAATGTGAAAATTGTGTTCACAGGTAATTGAAAGCAGGCAGTTATTCTTCACAGCACAACACACAGCATAACAGTAACTATAAAGCAAGGAAAATTCCAGTTTTTAAAGATTTATTTCTCATAAACACAAGTAA